CAGTTGCCTTTGGAGTCAGACATCAGGGGGCAGATAAACTGCTGGAGCCTGATCCTAGTGTTGCCAGACGAAGGGAACAGCTAAGGAACAAGGATTGACTTGGGAGTAAGGCCACAGGTAGACGGTGAATGGCCCCTCCCATAGGGAATAAAAGAGGAGTGAAATGGAAGGGGTGTTTGCAGGAAACAATGAGTTCATTCCTGCATTCTTGCCTAGTATTGTGGCGTCTGAAAGATATTGGCTTGGCCACTCAAAACTTGATAAAGGTCAGTAATTATGAACTATCTTGAAAGACTGTGGGTTGGGACTTTGATGGAGAGGAACACTGTAAATGAAAGGGGTTTATTATGATGAGGACTTAGCTTCCTGCTGCTGGGGAACCCTAGGTCAGCGCACCCAACCACTTCATCTCATAGAGAAGGTTGGACACTGAGTGATAATGGCCTAAATATGCCACTAACTGTTATGATTGCAAGGTCTCAGAAGATGTATGTTCAGCAAGGAATGCCCCTTTTAAAACGATGCTGACCTTTGAGATTTATGCATATCTATAAAGAAATGCTTGATTCCACTCATAAGCAATTTGTTCAGATTTAATCAATCAATGGAGTAACCACTTAAAATTCACGAAGTAATAAATGCCTAACTGGGATTCAGATCTGTCTTATATACTGATATAAAAGTTACATTTAAAATACCTTTTCATTTCTGCTTGTTCTTTCTTTTCTTGGATCATTTTTATTTCACTGTCTTCCCTTTGTGCATTTCTGTATCTCACTGTATTAGAATGCTGGAAGAAAAATGTTTTTTAAACCTGTTTTCCATTTTTTACTATAAAAGTTAACAGTACAAAACAATTGCACAAAACTTTTAAAAGAGAAAAAGAAAGTTTTTAATCTAGGTTGGGAGAAAATAATATCTATCAGAATTTTTGATCAGCTATTTATTGTTAAACATTTTCTCTACAAGTCTGCATTTTAATTATTGCATTGATCCAGTTAAATTTAAGCATGTTTGAAGATATTACTGAGTTTATTAATTCAGCACTGAAGTAGCTGTTAGTGAGTTAGAAATTACATTTAATTTCTATGATTGGTAATAATGGTAATTAAGCAACAATTTATTTCGATTTTAGGAGCAACAATCAATCCAATAAAATAGAACAAGTGGGCCTGACTCGGTAGAAACAAGAATGTAGCCAGTCTGAATATTACAGAAAGCTGAATATTTAGCTGGGATAGTAGAAATGCATAGCAACGTTTTGAAGTGAAATCACTGAAAAAATAAAAAGCAGGACAGAGATTTTGATAAAATTTCCAATTGCACTGCATCAGGCTATTTTATCCATATCCAAAATACAGTGTTTAAGTGATTATTTAGCTTAAATGACATAAAAGATGGTGAAAAGCCAAATATTTTTTATGTTATTTTATTTATTTATTGAATTTATATTGCCGCCTATTTGCCCATGTTTGCTTTCTTTGCTCAAGGAGGCCTACAGAATATAAAACCACATTTAAAACAATAAAAACTAACAAAAATAATCAAATAAATTAATATAGTACAATATAATGGTTCCACCACAAATGTGCGAACGACAAAAGCGCGCATGACTAAACCGCGGTGACAAAACCGCGCCGACAAAAGCGCGCCGACGAATGAGCGCTGAAGCACGCTGACAACAGCGCGCTGACAGAAGCGTGCTGTAACCCTAACCCTAAACCTAACCCTAAACGTAACCCTAAACCTAACCCTAACCCTAACCCTAACCCTAAACCTTACCTTAAGTTAAATCGCGCTTCTGTCGGCGCGCTTTTGTCAACGCGCTGTTGTTGGCACACTTTTGACATTGCGGTTTTAGCGCCACGGTTTCGTCGGCGCGCTTTTGTCATTCGCGCATTTGTCGGGTCACGCAATATAATAAAATCACATCCCCCCCACACCTCCTGCCCTGGCAACAGCAGTTCACAAGGGCCATTTAATGGGCTCCATCCTGCTCTGGGTTCCCCAGACCCGCTTGCAGAACCAGGTATTCAATGCCTTCCAGAAGAGTATTAGAGTGGGAACAATTCTAATCTTTGGGGGAATGACAGAGAAGGCCATTCTTCTGGGTCCCACCAGGTATATCTCGCTCGAGGATGGGACTCGAACATTCTCTATCTCCCCACACTGATGGAATATCCTTAGTTTCCTAGAGTTGATCCACTTGGAAGGATGTTGATTATAGAAGCTTAAGGGAACATTAGAATAGCTTTAGGCATAGCAAATCTACTTTGTCAGAATTGGGGTTCTAGAGAAATAAGGCTGGCTTCACTATGAAGCAGCATTCGGAACCCAATAGAGTAGGTGAGTTGCTCCCGGTTCAGCCCGGTTTGGCCGAACTGGTAATGGAATTCAGGCCTGGGTCGCAGAACTGGCAGCAACCCAGGCTTGCCACGCCCCCAAACTGGTTCCCTTGCGGACACTGGGCCACCGCCATTTTGGTTTTTAGTGAATGTGCGTACGCAGTTCACTGTAAATTGTTCTGCGCATATGGGAAAAACAGTTTAAACAGCACACACATGCAGTGAGGTTGCAAACCGGTAGTAAAACTGGTAGCAACTCACCCCTGCAATGGATCACCCTCAGAAACTTGCATTGGTGTTTTCTCAAAATGTATAGATATTTTATAAGCACAGGACTTAACTGTTTTGTCCAGCAAAGGGTTGAGGATATGAGGGCCTCCAATTAGATAGAAAAAAACACACACATTGTAGATAATTACCTTGGCTTTTCGTATGTGTAACATGAAGGATTTGAGTGTCGGTAAATATGCCCAGACTATCTCATTTGTTCTGAACATGTTCACTAATATTCCATTTACTGTTGATATTTTTGATAGGAACTTAAGTTCAGCTTTGATTTAATTTATGGTACATCTTTCTTTCTCACAATTAGTTGTGAAGGACAATAACGCTCATCTTAATCCCACCACTGGGAAGGAATGAGTAGGCAGTATCATCTGCATAAAGTTAAGACAAGGATTTGTCTAGTGGCCAAACATGATGTCTGTCTGTATGCTATATGCAATTTTGCTAATGAAGAAACAGCTGTCATCTCACCCAAGTACCGTAGTATTCCAGGAAAGATGTGATGGATTATTATGAATTCTGACCCAGCTGGAGATGTCTTTTATTCCAAATTATAATTCCCAGGCACAATTTACTTTGCTTATTTGTGAACTGAGATTCAGTTACCGTGTAATGAATGCACAAAAGAATGCACTCAAATGTAACACCAGCATTACAACACCAGTTTAAAAAAATCTGTGTTATAAGATCCAAGGTATTTTAAACTTCATTCTGTTTTTAGTTTTACTTAGGTATGAATCAGACTATTCACTTAAACTTACATCTTGAGTTAATGTTTCAAGAGACTTTCCTCTGCTGATTCGCTGACTGTTGGAGCCGTGCCTTAGTGACCTGAAAAAATGACATTCATTTGGTGAAAAAAACTAAGCATGCACTGAGCATCAGTGGAACAACAGACCTTGCAATTATGGGTTTGATTTTGCATTACACTCAGCTGCATCTTACTTTCTACAATTGGTGGCTTTTATTTGTTTTGGATTACAATTCCCACATCGGCTGGGAATAAGGACAGCTGAAGATCAATCACGACAGCTGAAGCTGGAGGTGCTAAGGAAGTAGGGAAGTAAGAAGTTGTACCTGCAGTGCAGAATTAATAGTTGTACTAATCCAGGGGTGTCAAACTCACATAGTCACGGCGGTGTCACGTGACATAGCGGGACTTCCCCCCCTTCGCTAAACCAGGTGTGGGTGTGGCCAGTGCATGACGCCTCCAGCCCACGGCGCCTGGGAGTTTGACAGCCCTGTACTAGTCCAAAGAGATGGTTCATTTTTTTCCTTTTCTCAAGAGACACAAATGATTTAAAAAGTGATGATGTGAAAAGTGGAAAGGTTAACTAATATAGTACATCACTGAACTAATCCATAAATCCTGCGAGGGCAGTTGAACAATAAAGGTCATGATTGGATCACCCTGGTTACAGAATTTTTTTCCTGACGTTTGCAACCAGAACTTGGATATTTTGAAAACAATTATATTTAAAACATAAGAGTTTTCTATTATGATAATGTCATTATTATTATTGCAATAAAAATACAGCTGTCATTTGTTATGAACTAATTCTAATTTACTCATGTTTGCTGTGTAACTTACAAGAATTTTAACTTCTACTTTTAACGTGTCCTTAAAAGGTTTTTATTGAATTCTTCTTACCTGCGTTCTTGGCGTATATGATGCTGAACACTAAGAATAGATCGTTCTTTTGCAGGCTGTCCCTCAAGAGATCCACTAAGCATACGCTGATGAGTACAGGCTCTAGGTAAACAGATACTATGATAAGTAATAATTAGGGATATACAGCATTTAGGAAATAACTTTGAATGTTTGAATGTAACATTGGTGGGAAATCTTTCAAAGAACCTACATAATTTTCTGGGATCATGGAAATGACACAGTTGTCTTAAAGAATTCCAGATTTACATCTGCACCATCATGCTCCAAAGTATTGTTTTAAAATTGAACTTGAAACATGCATAGCCAGGAAACTGCAGCTCTCAGGAAGGATAGGAGACAGCTTTCTCAAACATTGTCTATGCAAGGGATGGAAAAGTTTGAATAATAAATGCCATTTTTCAAGATAGGATGAAAAGAGCTAGATCAAGACTAATTCACTAAGTCAGCTGTCAGTAAATCTCACCACTAAAATGGCAACCTTCTTCACTCATCTCATTCTTGATTTAGACTTAGCCATTGTGTGGAACTTGGATCTCAAGCTGCAAACTGTGATGCATTGCATTTTATATTGCTTTCATTTTACATGAAACCTACTCATAATGAAGGGACCCTCAAATCCCTCTTTAATACCTAAGAATTTTATTGATTGCAGATTCCTTCTCCAGAAGGTTTCTTGCCCTAATGCTGAAAACAGATTTGCGAAGCTGTAAAAGAAAAGGAAACCAACTTTATTGACAGTCTTAGTACTTAGACTATGTTGTTTAAAACCTTAGCCACTGAAATCAAATGGAAGCAGACAAATGCTATTACGGTGAACCAAGAATTATTTTTGTTTGTTTTGAATTTGGATTTCATCTGGAAGATGATTTGGAACCAATAATTTTAGGGTAAAGTTTCTATTCTATACCATATAGTACCATATTTTCTACCATATACCTTAGTATATTGGCATACTATGCTCATCATTAGTGAAAATAAAGATCATGTATAAATAAGTATAATTATTAATGGTCATCTACAAATTATCCAGGCAGTTTTTTGACAAATTAATAAGATTTCTCTTTCAAAAATGAAAACAGTCCTGAAATAATAAAACAGGATATCAGACTCTCCCTCTGGTTTCCAATCTCTATATTCAATAATATGACATCTCAACATGTGTCGCTAATTGTCCCACATGGCAAGTTGGCCACAGCTAATCATCCCATGGTGAATTGTTGAAGGGATATGGAGGGGCAGAAGCTGCAGCCAATGAGTGGCAGGGGAGGATCAGTAAGGAAGGGGCGGATGGGGAGGAAGGCCTGCAGTGGGTCGGCTGGAGCAGGAGAGCTGGAGTGAAGTGGGTGGGGGCAGGCACCTGTGGCCAATTGTTCTATTCTGGTCCCGGTGTTGGGGATTTGGCAGGGTTGTGGAAATTTTGTATCTAAAGAATCCAGAGCCTTATCTCCCATCCTGTTCTTCAGTAAGAAAGACTCTGACATCTACTATGCTGCTATGTTGTGAATATGATGCTGGATTTCTCCAATGAAACTTTGCTCGTGGAATTATATTGCAGGCTCCTTTGAAAGAAAGATTCCATCTAGTTTACATGCATTCTCTGAACATTCTGGGGATTTAGTATGTTAACATGTGCATTGAAAAATCTTCACAAGAATTATACCAGAAACTTTTATTGAAACATAGAAAAGCAGTTTAAAGTTCTTTTTATTTTTAATGCCAAATCTTCCCATGCTTATTTTGTAATATGCTAAATCCAGTTTTATGAATATAGAACATACCTGCCTTTAAAAAAAACACTGATTAAGAGAGAAAATCTGCCAGACCTATAAGGATTATAAAATTGCTTCAAGGAAGACAGATGGTTTCAAAAGAAAGAAAAGATAAGCATACATTCGATATATGAATGGGAAGCTGTCATATTTGACAACAACCCAGATGTCATAGAAAACAAAAAAATACATTTCTATATAAAAACCTGAATGTAAAATGCAATGTTGATAATGAGGATAATAATAATAATAATAATAATAATAATAATAATANGGTCAGAGTTGGCTTCACTTGGATATGACATGTTGCTCCTAATAAATAACTGGATTTCTTTTGAAGCTTGTTGAGAGGCTCCATCGGAACCCTGACACATAGATCATTTGAAGGTGTTCTAATGGGCAGATTCTCCTTTCGGCCTTCCGTGGGGAAGGATAACTGCCTCCAAATAGCTCTTGCTGTAACAAACTGCATGTACCTTAGAAACACCTTGAGCTGAAGGATAAACAAAAGGTACAGATTTAATGATAGCATAGTGAAGGATAAGGAGATCTTTAAGGGCATTGGAAGGGCCACAATTATCTTCAATCTTATCGTCAATGAATTCTTAGCATGAAACTACTAGTATACTAATTAAAACAGTTTCAGAACAAATCAGGGGACGTGACAAGCATTTCAGAGAAACAAAGCTTCCTGGAATGGATAGAAGTGCTGTTCCTTTCAGGTTGCCGACAGGGAGTTGAGCCCATGACCCCTTTTCCTCAGCCCTTCTTGGGTCTTCGAGGGAGATGGGAGGTAATAAGGAGATCATTTCAGGTACAAATGCAAGGTTAACTGATGTGTATCTCCTTATACATACATACACACTTCTATAAAAAAAGACAGATTCTCCATACAACCCCGTTGTGAATCTGAAATGCTGCATGTGAATTTGTACTGATGGATTCAGAAACTGCTGATCAGAGACTCAAAAGTCCACTAAGAACATGTTATGGCATGGTGGTCCTATATATTCTGTTTGGGTATCATTTTTAAAAATTAGAGCCTGTCTGTTGTTCTTTTAAAAAAATATGAGACAAATAAATCAACGACAAAGACTCTTCACCCAAATGGTAAAGCAGTATTTCAGAAGGAGAGGAGAAAAACTGGCATCAGTCAAAGATGGGAAAATAATATAAATAGAGCTTAGAATCCCCCCACCCACCCCAATGAGGAGTACGAAGTGAAGGAGAAGGGAGGGCTTTTAATAAAACTGCACTGCCATAAAAGCAAGAATGGCAGATAATTGTCCTACAGCATTCCTGTTTTAAAGGAGCCCCTGGGCAATAGAAAAGAAGGTAAGAGACATTTTGAGTGGTAGCAACCTACAGAGTTTATCAAATTTATGTCTCAAGTGGCACCCTTTGAGTTGAGAGCCATTTCTACTGTTTTCATGTACTTTTCTTTGCAGCAATGCAGCATGGGTTTACTATTGTTTTCTTCTTGAAGTTTTTAGTTAGCCTATATCCCAGTAGTTTCTGGTGATCTGCCATCCAAGTGCCCCATTTAGCTTTAACAGATCAGTTGGTTTTTCAAAGGGAAAGAATGAAATATCTCATCCCACAATAAAGCTTTTAGATACATATAAAGAAGCTTTTTGGTTGTATGGCATGACTAGTATATGGAATGCCACTTTATTTAAAAATACTCAAAACATGAAAAAACTTTATAGGACTAAAGCAGGGGTGCGTTTTAGCTGGTACGCACCAGTACGTGCATACCCAATTGTAAAGTTTAGCGTGCTTTCCCGTACCTGAGCTTCCGGAAGCTCCAGTACTGGAACATTCCCTCCCCTGGCCTGCCACCTCCGCTCGCTCCCCCGCCCATCCAGCTGCTGCTCGCTCGCTTGCCCTGCCTGTCCGCACCAGGCTTGCCCCACCCACCCACTTCCTCTGCCGGAGTGGAGGATTGGGAGAAGCACACATGGCGTGCACTCATTTCTCTTTGACAGTTGCCTGGTTTCCAAAGATGGGTGAAAGAAATCCGTGAGTTTTTCCTCCCTCTGCATTGATTTCTTACCTCTCCCATTGGAAACCAGGCAGCTGTCAAAGAGAAGGGAGCACATGCCGCGTGGGCTTCTTCCAACAGCCGAAGAAGGAACAGGAGGGGAGGATTCGGCTATTGGGGAATAGCCCATGTGGTGCACACTCCCTTCTCTTTGACAGCCGCCTGGTTTCCAATGGGGGGGGGGAGAAAACCATGCGTTTTTTCTCCCTCTGCATGGATTCCCCCCCATTGGAAACCAGGTGGCTATCTCATACACACATACACACAAACACACACTACACAAATCCCTCTCTCCCTTGATTTCTCCTCAGCCACACTTGTGGAGGAAAGAGGCAGGGATACTGGCTGGTGCTCTCTTCACTTACTGCTTGCCACTGCCACCCCTGTGGCCCACTGGCTGCAGCCCTGCCTGCCCTGCTTAGCTGGCTGGATGTCCCGGAAAGCAGTGAGGGGGCGAGAGCCGGCCATCATCCCTGCCTCCTTTCTCTGTGAGCTGCGGAAGAGGAGAAACAGAGGCTTCTTTTTTGCCAGCCTCCCAGTTGATCCAGTCCCCCTTACACATGCGCCTTACATTGCAGAAAGCTGTTTGTGTGTGTGTGTGTGTGTGTGTGTTGAGTGACGTGCATGTCTTCCGTGGCATGCCCAACACCTTCAAACACCCACTAGGTCACCCACCGAGCAGCAGATAAATCAGGCTTTGGCAAAAGGAAAAAAAAGCCATTTGAAATTAGCCCTCTCTGCCACTCTGCTGAAAAGGCGGGAACCAAGACCAAGAGATAATAGGATGACTAACCATATTTGGTTAACCCCCAGAGTGGTAAGAGGATGAATAGGGAGCTCTGTGAATTGGCTTGTAGGACACAGAATGCCGTGATCATAGGATTTATTGGGCACCAGTTTTAGTTCATAGAATATATCTATGAATATAATTGGAAGGGATGTGTGTGTGCGTGAGAGAGAGAGAGAGAGAAAGAGAGGGAAGAGAGAGAGAGAGAAAGAAAGGAAGTAAGAGAACGGAAGAAAGAAGGAAGAAAGAAAATGGGAGAGATACACATAAGAAAGGAAGGAAGGAAGAAATGGAGGGAGAGGGAGAGAAAAAAGAGAGAGACAAAGATAGAAAGAGAAAGAGAGAGAAAGAAAAAGAAGGAAAGAGAAAGAAAAAAGAAAAAGGAAAAAAGAAAGAAAAAGAAAAAAAGGAAGTGGGAGAGATAGACAAAAAAGAAAGAAAGAAAGAAAGAAAAAAGGGAGAGAGAGAGAGACAAAAGGAAGGAAGGAAGGAGGGAAGAAAGAAAGAAAGAAAGAAAGAAAGAGAACCTATGACCACAATTGAGCCCAAAATTTTGGTTGCTAGCAATAACATCGTTAAGTGAGTTTCACCATATTTTCCAAGTTGGCCACGCCCACTCGGTCACATTACCGCCGAGCCACTCCCACAAAACAGGCCACACATACAGAATAGGTTCTAAAAATTTTTGAAACCCACCATTGGACTAAAGTTACTTTTCATGTTGAACCAGAACTGCATTTTTTTNAAAAGCCGCACTGCTTGGATCTGCACGCATATTACGAAAATACGTTACGACGTCCTAGGCCCCTGGGTGGGGCCCGACTAGTAACCAATGCCAAATCCTGTGAAACAACTGGCCGCTGTGATACAATTGTATAATAATAATAATAATGCTACAAAGATGGTTTGCAAGAAAAATGCTTCAGAGAATGACAGGCCACACAAAGGCTGCTTGATTATCAAGGATGATTTAGCTTGATAAATCAACTTATCATCTAATATAAATTAAAACATGGTTGCCACACTGAACGAAATGATACTTGGTGACCAGCAAGCACAATCAAAATATTAGGTGAGTTATCGGAACTGACTGGACTGTATGGATTAGAGTTTCTGTATGGAAATGTTGTGTAAAGCCTCCTGCACAAGACTTTGCTCATTAACTGAGGTATTTACCATGGTATTTAGAACTACATCACTTCAATCTTGGAATAGAGAGGAGGAGGAGGAGGAGGATGCAATCTTCCCTATGCTTTAAAGATATATTCTCTTCTTACAGGAAAAAGAACCATATAGAGCAGTGGTCCCCAACTCCTGGGCTACTACCAGGCGAATGAGCGCATGTGTACAGTTCCACATATGTGAGCAGCAGATGAGCATGTGCCTGCACAAAGCTCTATATGCGCAAACGACGTGTGTGCCCATCACTCATGCAAATAGAGCTGTGCATGCCTGCAGCTCATGTGCAACCAATCTCTCTCTCTTCCCTGGTGGTCCAAAGGGCCGGAAATGTTGGGGACCACTGATATCGAGCAGTATTTCTCAACACTGATAACTTTAAGCTGTGTGAACAGAATGATGGGAGTTGAAGTCACATAACTTAAAATTGCCAAGGTTGAGAAACATTGATACAGAGTGCTAATTTTTATTTTCTATTTACTTGATTATGATTCTGGGTTCCTGGGCTATTATTACACCTAGCTTCTTCCTTAAGGAAAATGTTGCATTATTTCAGTAGTTATTCTAAATAATCTTATTCTATCTCAGTTTTGCAGAGCTGGTTGGTAAAACCATCAGAGGTTTCAGTCAGATTTCTTTTAATAAAGGTCTTTAACCTAAGAGGTGACAAATATTCTTAAAAATAGCTTAAAGTAGAATTAATTCTAACAATAAAACTGAGATGAGTCAACATCCATTTTATTTGTTTTACAAAGAGAGGTGCCAGAATAAAGAAAGATTCTCAAAAGGACTTCTGGAAGCCACAGTTAAAATCTGATTTCTGTTAAATGTTGTGATCGAATTCTCATAATTTTATCATTCAGTATTCTGAGTTATTTGATTCAGACTGCATGAACCACAGATAGCATACACACAAAGGAATCTGACAGCTGTCAGCAGATCATTTTTTTTGTTTTTGTTTTCGCTGATGTATGTTTAATTAACATTTTCTATAGCTTGTGGTTTCTTTCTCTTCTGCTGTGCACACAGACAAATGTTCATTTAAAAAAAATGTTATTTCCAATGAGTATTAGAGAGAAGAAGACACTTTGGAGGATATACTTAAATGTCAGGTTGCTATGGTAATTGCCTCTGTAGAAAGCTATAATCATCTAACAAAATGCAACCTAATGTTCCAGTCACATAGATAAAATTCCTGCTGAGTACAGGAAACTAAGTCAATTCGTGAAGCCCAATATTATCTCGCAGTAGTGTTCAAGACCTCAGAAAAGATCCTTCCTAGATGACTGACATTTATTTTAATATTTTTCTGATCTTTAAAAAAACAGATTCTAGAAGTTATGATTTTGTCTACAGAGCATTCATTGTTGGTTGACTGATATTGACTGTTGTAGAGCTTGGGTAAACAGAGTAATATTATCCCCCTTTGCTCTTCAACACTAGAGGTATCAATACTCAGAAAGACCATGAAATGTTTAAAAAATACATCTACACACAAACTCACTTTCTGAAGACCTTTTCTGTTATTCATAGCATCAGTCGTAAACCTTTCCAAGAAGCTCTGTCTTCCACCAACCCCACACAGGTTAGTTTATATCCATTCCTGGCTAGAAAAATGATGAGCTAAATGTAATCACCAGCTACAGTGACACCCCACATACATTTAAGATGTCAGATCACAATATGAGTGGAGATCTTTATATACTGCTGTATCTAGTGACTTGCCTTCTGGTCAATGTATTTGTCTTCAATTGCCAGCCTTTTAGCGTGATCACAGGAGGAAGAAGAAGCTGATGGAAGCCTTCTCAATAAACAAGTTGTATCTTGCTGCTGTCGATCAATAAACTGCTTCATAAAGCTTTCCCTTTTGAGAGAGAGAGAGACAGAGAGAGGGAGGAAGGAAGGAGAGAGAGAGAGAGGGAGAGAGATACACTGCCTGTTATTTATATTTTCTTTATATATGTATAATGAATAAATGACAACCAAATTTGAATAAATATATCCTTCATATCAGTGGTTCTCAACTTTCCCAATGCCGTGACCCTTTAATACAGTTCCTCATGTTGTGGTGACCCCCAACCATAAAATTGGTGTCTTGGTTCCTAAGAACATCCAAAATATGTGTTTTCCAATGGTCTTAGGCGACCTCTGTGAAAGGAGTCCCGACCCACAGGTTGAAAACTACTGCTTTCTATCATATATCATCCAAAGCTCTTTGTTATGTTAGCTGATAGACCAATTTCCAGACTTTGAAATACCAATAAAATGTATTTTTTATTTTTTTCAATAGTTTATTATAATAAATGGGGCAGCAAACAATAGGAAATGAATCAGTTTTTGCCTG